AATAGAGATGAAATGAATATTTTATAAGAAAAGGAAATTAGTTACTGGACTGATTGGAGTTGAACTGAACTGAATGGAGCTAAACCGAACTGAATTAATTAGAGCTAAACTGAACTTAACTTAAATTAAGCTAAAGTGAACAGACCCTTAGTGACTAATACAAGAAAAAAATAATACAGAGTACATAATAAAATGAGTCACAATAATAATCAATTAAGGTTATCATATGAATCGCGTAAAAGTACATTAAATTGTTGCGTTATAAAAAAAGAGGGAAGTAATATGTGAATTAGTACGGTATAATTGCAAATATCCATTACATGTTTTAAAAACAGATGAGTATATTATGCTACGTACAAGGTACAACCTAATATATATCATATAACTAATATATAAAGCTAAACTTTTAGCCAAGTCACGAGGCAGCGACACTTGGCGGTCTAACTTTTTGCCAAGTGTCGCGCCACGTTGGGTAGATTTAAATAGACTTTATAAGATAAAAATCAGTGTCGCGCCACCTTGGATAGATTTAGGTAGACTTTATAAGATAAAAACGTTAGTTAAAAATTCCATTTTCAATCAAATTAGGATAGAATTTTAGAATAAGTTTGTTGTTTAGAGTTTTATTTTCGATAAAATACCAAATAATAAACTTATAATTAGGCCACAAGACAACATCATCATTTAGCGTTTTAACTTTTCGCCAAGTGTCGTACCACGTTCAATAAATATAGATAGATTTTATAGCAAAAGAATGTTAATTTAGAATAATATTTTCAATCAAACTGAATTATAAAATAGTTTTATCTTAAAAGTCTATAAACAACCCGGGCATCGCACGGGGCACAAAACTAGTATATATATAAAGGGGAGTTTTTTCCCGAGTTTTTAGAGAGCCACGTAGGATCTAATTTTCTCTGCGCGGCATGTAGGATTATAAATCTTAGTAGTAGTCAATTAAATAAGAGATTATTAATTTCTTTTAGAATTAAATAATTTAAATGCCACGTAAGCAAAATTGGCGAATGAGATTTTTAAGTTTAAATTAATTAAATATTATATATTATCTTTTAATATTAGGAATTTTATCTAAATATACAGCAAATTTTAGGCTCATAAATACAAAAAAAAAACATTATTTAAAAAAAATCAAACAAACCGTACATCGCACGAGCTTCATCTAGTTAACTAATAAATCGAGGTGAAGTCACGCACCCCAACTATGTCCTCCCAAGATAGGTTCCTTATTTCGATCCGATGATCATCTAAATAAAGCACCCTTTCTTTATAAACGACTCCTAAATTAGCCAAATTTATGGACTACCTTATTATCTTCTCTAAAACAATGATTAACAACAAAACTGAAAAAAATGCAATAAACTACGACATTTGTTCAAGATGTTAGTTTGCATTCTTGACAGCTTCAATACACGCTTGATTATCCATTTGATTCACTAGCTTTGTAATGCCTTTGTTGATAGCCATCTGTACTGTAACCCAAATTCCAGTGCTAAGAGTTGAGCTTTATATGAGTTACAAACTCCCAACCTTGCTGCAAAACCCTTGAGTCCTTGACAAAAGCACAGTCCCTTAATACTCCCACTCCACCAGCCTGTCCTGGAGAGCCGTTGGCGGCTCCATCTGTATTAAGAGCATACCAGCTGCGCTGCTGGGTGGCGTAATCCTAGCTTAACCACTTAGGCACTTACCATTTACCAATTACAATTTACCATTTACAAAAACTTGTGTATTCCAAACTATTTTAATTTCGTAATGTGTATGCCGTATGTATGCCCGCGTGCTTTGGATCAAATGTCTTCATTCTTATCCAAATGATAAAAGTATTGTTCTGACTTCTGAGTTTTCGACTTTTGAACTATTCACACCCTAACTATAGTTGTCTCCATGAAAGAGTTTGAAGAAAGAAAATTAAAAAAAAATACTTTGCCTTAACTCTTAAGGGCATAACTTTACTGTATATTCTAAACACCTAGAGTTAATAAATAGTTTAAATTCGTTAACTATATACCAATACAATTAATACGGTAGAAATTCCCAATATGTGAGGCTAATCGGTCATTTGCATATTGATTTTTTTTTTTTTTTTAAATGACCAGAAAGATCCTAATCAGACCTCTACCCTCATCGAGCCATGTACTTGAAATGTTAAGAGTAGAGGGGAGGGTAAGAGAATCTCTAACCAGCTTACCCAAGTAATACTCATACGTTTAGGATCTAAAATAAGAAATCTACCAAATTAGCCAACACTTTGTTGGTATTTATGTATTAATGTAAGGCTATTTGTGTACTGATATATGACCAACTAAACCAATTATGTAGTTAACCTTCTGGAATACAACGTACATTTTATAGAATAAAGTTTGTTTTCTATAATTTGTTTCTTGATAAACACTAATGAGAAACAAAATTCCAATTAAAATCTTTAATTATATCCTAGGTTGAGGATTTCCTCAAACAAAAAGGGTAACAGAATAACAGAGATTTGCATAGCTCCAAATCCGATAGCAGGTTTATTTTTGTACAATTGCTATCAGATATACACACATGCATAATCCGTACAATAATATTACAATACAGTTGCGACTTTAGGTTATCGACTGGATGTTTAACCACATTCAAGTTTCACTACGACGATGTGCAATAGCAGGCTCATCAACATAATTGTGCTGTGGGTTAGCTAGGCAATGTGAAGGAGGATCGGGTCTGTCGCATTCATCATTGCTCATGAACATCTGTGATTGTGCATTTGCAACCAATTGGTTGTTTGTTATGAGCACCATGCCGATAATCAAACCCATAAATAGAACTAGTGTTGGCTTCATTTTGTTTAAAATATTTATTTGATAAAATAATGTAAACTTTGCTTTGTAAATTTGATGATTTGTTCTATTTATAAACAAACTCCGTTTCTTATGGACTGGTGGCCTAAAATAAAGATTAAATTTAAGGGATAAATACAGAGTGTTCTGTTTCGTTTAAATCACCTAACATTGTTGATGCCCATAATTAGAAGTTTAGAACAGTTTGCTATTATAGGATTAAGGTACGTTTGAAGTTATCAGCTTAATTGCAGCTGTATGGAAAAGACAACTAATCCAGGCTCTCTGATTATGAGTGCATTATCCATAAAATTAATTTCCTACTATACCCAACAAAAAAAAAATCTCCAACGTCTTTGAGTAAATAATTTAAAACAGCTAATGAATATTAGACTAATCTAATCTAAGTAATCTGAAGTGTATTTTTTTTTTTTTTTAATCCATATAACATATTCTAAGAATTTATTTTACTTCATTAATCTAGTATTCTAGTTAAATAACCCTTTTTTTGTTTAAAAAAAAAGGTTAAATAACCCTTTAAGGGGGGGTTTGGTACGGCTGATGAAAATAAAGTGGGAGGAAATGAATTATTTAACTCTTACCTTTCCATTTGTTTGGTTTAATCTTGTAAAGGAATCACTTAAACCAATCTTTCTTTAATATTATTTTAAGAGAGTAAGAATAATTGTTACCTTGAATTTTAGAGAGGTAACAAATGGGTGACAACTACAGTATTAATAGTAATTGTTTTCCAAACCTTTCAACCAAACACTTGATAAGGGTAAACTACCTCTGTTACAGGTTATGTGCAACAATTAGACATTTTTCCTCTGTGCTTTATGTCAAATTGTTGCACATAATAGAGGTAGTAGTTTATTTGAATCCATTTCCAAAAAAAAAAAAACACTCCCACCAAACATGCACTAAGTTTGACTTAAACAGTCAGTTGTATCATTGTATGCAACAAAGGCTCAAAGCTGGGTTCCATCTTTTCCATATTTGGCAAGACTAAACTATGCATTCCCACATCTTTGCTGAACAAAATTATATGCCAGGAAGCTGAAAACAAAGCAGTTAATTCTGCACCCATCGGAATCAATACATTCGCACAAAGAGCAATGTCACATTGTTATCAGTATAGAAGTACTACTTATCAACATATCTGACAGGGCAGAAAGGACCCTAGATATCTATCAATGTACATGCACCTTCGTCAAAGAAAAAAAAAAAACTTATATATGACTGTAAACACATTAGAACATCCTCATGGCATTCCAAACAGCAGTTTGTTTCTTTGGTATACTGAATATTTTTAAGACACACCTTTCAACTGTCATGAGCTGGAAACATGGATCAATCATCTTGGTCTTTGTTTTAGCTCCTTTTAGACTGTCATCATCCACAGCTTTGCCCGCAAAACAGCCAATATCATCTACAAAAACTGTGAATTAAAGAAACACTGTATCAGACATGAAAGTACTACGGGTTCTTGAAATCTGAAGAATAAAAGGACATCCTTACCTTGGACCTTCTGTTGACACAGAACTGGAACACTGCCTCGTGGTCTGATAGCACACAGAAACGGTTAGATCAGAGTTCAGTGCTGGATTCAACAAGTATAATTATAGTCAGATAAATGAAAGTAGGCACTGGAGAAAGAAATTAAATGAGCATCTCAACTGACTCTTTAGTGGGAGTCCTGGGAGAGCTCTGCACATTATCTGCATCAGCGATTACTTCTTGAGTGAAATCATTGTCTGACGTATGCTGAGACCCATTGTAGTCTTGTAAAGTAGTTTCTTGGGTAGGCAACCTGCTTTCTGGTGTCATACTTCTGTCCTCCGTGGAAACTGGGTTTAGGTGTTCATGCCATGGTGTCTGGCTCTGAGGCCTGTCCCTCCTTTCCTCAGTCACACTTTCCTGCACTGACAACTCTGGAACTGGAAATGCAGATTCAATGTCTCCAAAAACTTCAGAAGAATTTGAAGATTGAACAATTTCAAAGTCTTGCACACCCCGCGAGTTTTCCCCATAATCAGCTTTCGAGATGAAAGATGTACCATAGGATTGCCTTGAACATAATGGTTGGTGGAAATCTTTTTCTGATGAAAAGTTTTCAGGATTATCTTTTGCTGAACGATCCAAGTAACATTTAGATCTATGAAATTCAACTCCTTCATCAAGACTGAAGGAATCTCCTGCCCGATGTTGGTTTTTCTCAAATGATGTGAAGAAAGACCCAGGATTTGTTTTCATTTTGGGCAATGGGAACTCTTCTTCAAACAGGGATTATCTTCACGTTCATTGACAGGACACCGTGAAAATAAGGCAGACTTCAAGTGCGAGGAACCTGATCTCATCTGTTTCCTTGACGAGTGGCATTCCTTTCCTTCTCTCATTGTAGTGGGCATAATGTTCCAAATATCTTCATTAAAGTTGTTCGATTTACATGGCATGTCCAGATCCTTTAATTCCTTTCCATATCTTCTTATGTGTCTTGCAGATGGCATATCAGAAGTGCTCTCACCTCCCACTGACAATTTTAGAAAGAATGCAAGTACTTTATCAGTACAGTATGTGAAGAGTAAAATTTATCTGCATTATGAAAATAACAGCCAATATAGATCTCAAGTTAGGACAGCCAAAGTCCCTTTTTTTCAGAACAATCAATCATAAAAAAAATCAGGAAAACTGCTCAATCAAATCTCACTTTAAACTATTCCAAATTGAGGGAGAATGGTATTATTGTGTTACTAAAAACCTTCCATTCCAATATTTTTTAAAAGAAAAAATGAAAATCTTGCTGGAAAGCAGTCTGGAATGAACTGAAAAGCAAAAGCAATACAAAAGAAAATGAACATGATTTTAGGATATCCCAAAAATGGGAGAAAGACGGCTAAGCCGTAGCAAGTACTTAAAACTTTCACCTTTAAAATTCAAACGAAATGAAAATTCTTTTAATAGAGTGCAGGTAAGAAATGCAAACCATTTATCTTGAGGGTAATACTAATACCTGCAGTGGAAGAGCAAGATTCTCCACTGCACCATGATCATAAAACAGGAAGGACAGAGCATAGTACCATCAGCTATACGAGGTCAGGCAAAAAAAAGTAATCATCAAATTTACAGAAAATAACTCCCACCTAAACGAGGTCAGGCAATCCTTCATATCTTTCAATTTCTTCAACGGAGAAAAGCGGCCTTGTGGATGATAATTGCACACAAACGAAGAGTATCTGTAACACAAATCCAAACAAAATGAGTAAGCAAGATAATCTCCTGACCGTGCTATTTTCTTGTTTTCTCATTGTCACGATCCAGAGCAATAAAACATACTTGGGTTCATCAGATGCTGGAAAACAGCAATCTCCATCTATGATGAGTAAAAAAAACAAACAAGAAGTGGTCATCAATAAGCACTGCTCAATGAAGCTGCGTCATCTAAATGTAGAGCAAACTAATCACAAGTTAACAGCACCTAAAAAGTCAGATCTATCAGGTATCTTCTCCTGGAACCTGCATAAAATGACCACAATGATTAAAGAAAGTAAGTCCATCGAAAGAGCTAAAACAATGACACGTCAGACACAAAGGTACCTCGGAGGTGATTGTGAATAACACCTTTCAAATTTCATATCTGATAAATCATTTCTCCAGGTGAAGGTGTTATTAGTTGCATGATTAGTATCATAGTTCTTCCAGTTCACTCCACATATCTCATCAATCTTATTATAGCCGTCCAAGCAGGGAGAGCTATCTGGTAAAACGAAAAGGAAAAAACAGGGAAAAAAAATAACAGAAGGAAAAATCAGGCAGGTTCATCTTCAAAAGTTCACAATATATGAAAGTGAACTAACAAAGAATATTAATTGAACACACTTGCAAGAAATTAAGCATGAGCACAGAGTAGTGTATACACCTCCAGCCATGGCACTAACAAGCATAAAATATTCAAATTAAAAAATGAACCTCCCTAAAACCTTGTCATGTTTAATAAAAGGAATAACCCCGGGCCGGGGGGGGGGGGGGGGGGAGGGGGGTCGGTCAAAACCCATATTGAACGATGAAACTTTCAGAAATAGGATAGAAGAATAGTTTGGATTTTAAAAACTGATTAATTCTCGCCTCGTTGCATGACAAAACTAGATTGGAAAAAAGATGCACATAAACATTAGACTTGAATATTTCAGTAAGAAAACAAGTTATATTCTTATGACATACCATTCCAGAAAATATCATGTCTATCTTCATCATAGAAGGAGTTTATCTTGCATTGCCTGCCATCAAGTTGCATGCCATTTTTGAATGTTGATAGTTCATGCTCAAGACTGTCAATTGGATACAGTTCATCTCCAAATAAGCGTTTGTGACAAGATGGTTTTTCAACATCCTGCATCATGCATTCCAGCTTTTAAATCATCAAGAATGTGACAACAGTGACTCCCTGCCTTTAATAACCAAGGGCATTTCTAAATAATAAAAGACAACAGAAAACCATGAACTCTAGCAACAGTCTAACGAGGACTAAGGCAAATAGTGCATATTGATGTTCTCACCACTTCCATATCAAGGTTATCCAGCACCATATTGAAGTTTTTGCATGAGTAGATATTTTTAGCAGCCTTGGTAAATGTGGTCTGTTCATCATTCACTTTACTGTATTCATCAAAAAAATCATATTCAGGGATAGTCCATCATTGCTAGTCCAGAAATAGAGATCAGGTAAAATTAATTTCATATACATAACTACATAAGAGTATGAGACTGAATAGATAAGTATAGTGGTAACAAATGCAGCTACCCTGGCTATATGGATTGTCACTTGACTCATTTCACTCAGTTGCAAACAGAGGTGGCAAGAGGCAGTAGATTGGATATAACTTAAGCTTTAAGTGATACAGAAAAGCAAACAAAACAAACAATAGCTCATAATAATACCATAATTAACAACTATAAAATGATACTCTCTTCCTACTAAAATATTTGAGCAGATATGCACATATACAAAACTTTATCACTAATTACATTGGTATTTAATGATCACAAGTTAACATTGTGCTGGTATTTGAAACTAACTAGTTACCGTGCATGGATGTTTGAAGTAACATATAATATGTTATAAGACTAGATAGTTAAGTGGACAGATAATACAGAAAAGAGAGTCACAAACTCACAACTATGAACCTCAAGCTACTGCTAAAGCAACCAATACTGGACTTGATAACCTGAGCAATATAATTCATATTACTTCTTCAACATTCCTTTATGAATGCCTTATTACTCCTCCAAGAAACTTCTATGATATCTATATTCCTAACTCTTAAAGATACTTTGCCAGCACCCCCAACCTACCAAAAAGTTAATATAAAACAAACTAATACCTTCCAGGACGATGTGGCGACTGCAAAGGTGTTTCTGTTCCCACTTTACCTAAACCTGACATAAAAAAAATAATTAAAAAAAAAAAAAAAAACCAACTGTAACATTGGACACAAACAATATGTGAACTTGTTAATGATAGAACCAACCAAAATTTTAGCTACTTATTCTTTTAATTAAGCTTTTTAAACTCTTATCTTTAAACTATTTGTGACACTCACACAATCATCCTCATTATCTTTTCAGACAATAATATTCAATTTCCTTTCAAAAGTGACTAAACCAGAAGACAAATTGACATGTCAGACCAGAAGACTATTGCAGCATCAAACTACAGCACCTTCAATGGAGAAAGCAACATGAGCTTCCTGTGCAGGTTCTCCTTCTGAAATGCCAACTGCTCCATCATCGCCAATAATATCAAAAATGGATGGTTCTAGTATGTTCAAAACAACAAAACACAGGGCGATAAGACATATTGTGCAGTAAAAACAGCAATGAATCTATATGAGAAATAGTATCTTCTTAGAAAAAAGAGCCTTTGACTCCATTCGGTAGGTAGTACTAATAATGGTGACCAATTGACCATAGTAACAATTTTATAATGTAATTTCGTAAGAAAAGAAAAGGTCCATGGTAATGCGTGCTTTCCACCCACAAATCTCTCTTTTTCTTCACAAAATTCATTGCCATCCATTACCACTCGTAGAGGTGCTATTGAGCGGTTATGAAAATTTTATGAAGAAAAACACATTATACGGGATGGAGATCCATTATCATGACTCATGAGACTTTCCTTGCCAAGTTACATATACATTCATTACCTTTACTACCTATCAAATAGGCCATTAAGACTTAAAAAATAGATGACATGAAATGTTTCAGCTCAAATTGTTCAATAACTTACGAATTGATGAGGCACTTTTCACATATTCTGACTCAACCTTTTGGACATTTGAAGTACTGTTTTCCCTAGCGCTGGAATCGACAAAAAATATCATTTCAATATGTCAAAGTTACTCTTGTCAATCAGAAAGCCCCATAAGAGGATTGAAGAATTTCACAAATTAATAAACAAAGTCAGTTAAGATAGAAAAGGTCATTACTTGCAAAATACAATAATCAAGATGCATAGACACCTGAACACTTTCTTGATGAATTATTTGTAGATATGAACTACTTACCTTTTTGAGGACACTCTTTCCATTTGATTTGAAGAGGGGACCCCTGGTTCACCATATTATCTTTTACTCTCCAGTTTCAATGACTAAACTATTATGGACCCAGGTTGCAAAGTACGAATACATACTTGTTCCAGTAGGCAGAGTGCACTCCATAGCAGTGAGTTCTCTGGACTTCATCATTGGAGAACTCATGGAAATGTGATAGCTTGCTGGAAACTCATGGCCTCTAGACTTCCCAATGAGACCTGATCATATAAAATTGAAATTGAGGAATTATATGACATGATGCTGAAAACATTAAGACATAAATGTAAGATATGAGACCTGTTCAGCATGTATAGATACTTACTTGAATCCACATCTTCAGCAAAGCTTTCACAGGTGGCTTTTTTGGTAAGACTTGACAAATTCTCTGCCACAGTATCATAAGACAAATATTAAGAAAGAGCTCAAGCATGGTGCATTTGTTCATACTATAGATAAGAGGAATCTACACAATTGCACACAATGCAAATGTGGAATTAATATTCTAATCACAATATGAAGCCATTGTGTCACTGAAATTTAGCATGGTTATAAGTAGAATATAGAATCTCCATATAATTTGTAATCAATCAATATTGTATTCTTAAGGTATTATTTCATCTTATTTTATTTATTTCTGAAAAAATAAGCTAAGTTACAATGAAAAAAGTTCAGAAAAAAGCTTAATTTTACATGACATACTAACAGTGATGTCTTGCCCTAGTGGCAAAGATTGAGAGTTTGTGTATGCTAGGTAACATGTTCGAATCCTCCCTCCCCCATTTGTAAATCGTGTTGCCCATGTGGCTCATTTAGACCAACAGGAAAAAAAAGAAAAAAAAAAAAAAAACAACAACAAACTTATAAGGAGTACAATATAAATTGAAAAGCCTATGCTCCCCTACTTAAAATTACTTCTTTTGCTCCATAAATAATGCAACTTTTTCCTTCTTTGAAAGTTCGATAATTTTTTGCAAAGTTTCCCTTTTTATTTTTTCTCTCTATCCCTCAAATCATCACGAGCTTCTTGACTTCCATGCACCCCTTACATACTGCAAAAGTTATGGAGCTAATGAAGCCTAGCAGGGCATTTATTTATAGACTTAGGGAGACACACACACACTTAACAATTCAAATCTCACAAAAGACATTATAGAGAAGGTAAGTCACAGAGAAAAGATGCAAATAAAAAGTAAAAAGTATTATGACATGACAATTAATGTTAAATTAATATAGTAGAATAGCTTGTAATTTGAAATTGAAAGTAGGCAAATAAAGATGCTCTCTATTTTGAAGCTGAGGGAGTTGCAATCTGTAATATGTGCTACTTTTGTTTTAAGACATGCAAACACAAATCATTATAGGAGCTAAAGTATTATACTATGTCTTAAAGGACTTTCCTCAATATAACTTTTGATAACAATTAGCAATATGGAACAATATGACTTTGACTGACAAGCCGGCATCAAGTTCATCAACTAAAGAATTGACACTATAACAAATATATACAAAAAAAGTAGATTTTTCTCACCAGTGCCATATAAGGGCTTGCATTCTTCTGTAACTTTTGAAACATTGTGAAGACTCAATATATCCAGTGACCAATTTCTCTTTTGATGATCACATGTGTCTAAACTATCAACATTATTCTCTATATATGTAGTCTCTTGCTGCTGTCGTTTCCTTTGCTCAAAGTATTGTCTTTGCCTGCAACGTCAGAGCAATTCATAAACAAATTCTGAGAATCTGCATGTTTCAGCATTCATTTTATACCAACTCTTGACTCAACAACAAATGAAAAGTATGAAAGTTACTTGTTATATCAGAATCAGAATATGTAAAAAATATACAGCCAGTCTGGATACGCTACCATCGTCCATTTCACTGTGATATACAAAATCTCTCTCTCCATTGACTTTGGTGGTTACAGGCCAGCGGATATCCATTTTGAAGATACTAAACAGAATGGTATTGTAATCTGAAACATAAATTTTATATTTGTTTGTCCTTTTCCTTGGTATGGGACTAACGGGAGGGCATGAATCGCATGATCATCATCAAATTAACATATTTTTACAAGAACTCTATTTTTTACAAGAACTCTATCTGAAATTTTCAAACCGAAACAAATTTATTATCTAGTGCTCCAAGTCTTTCTGAATGCAGGGCATGGAGAGAAAGTATCATAGATTCTAAAAATAAGAAGGATACCAGAGACCATAACATCTAGGCATAAGAATTGAAAGAGAAGAAGGGTTTACCTACCTCTTTTGTGTTGACTTCCTAGACTGCATATAGCTCAATCCATTCCAAGTGACAAGAAAAACATGCAAAAAAGTAGGGAACCCCATATCAGAAAAGACCACAAAAACACAGAGCTAGACTATATAATGACACTTTGTTATCAAACATGCAAAACAGTAGGGAGCCCAATATCAGAAAAGACAACAAAAAGACAGAGCTAGACTATATAATGACACATTGTTATCTGACTTTGTAAATAGGATGAAGTTTTGTATCACTCAACACAATCTACAGAACAATGTTTTGCCATGTTTTTGAATTCAGTAGGGCAAGATACTCAAAACTCAGAAGAAAACTCTGTTTAGCTTTAGATTATAGATAAACAAGAATAACTTCAGGGAAACATGATCAGTCTATTTGAGCACCAAATATTTTGAAGCTAAAAGTGGACTTACAGTTGTAACCTTCCGTCTTGATCCTCCCATCCACTGCAACATCTCTGTCTAGACCAAAGGTACACCACCACTTTTGATAAGATTACAAGTACAATAGAAAATCAGAGATTATCCTCCTTCAATGGTCGGGGAATGTATGGGAAATAAAGGATCCCAATAAAGAAAAATGTCCTACAGTTACAATAAAAAGTTTGTCAAAATAAATCCCATGGCATTTGGCAAAGACATGTAACTAATGATAACAACACACACCAAGTGTCACTAGACATTAATAACAAAGAAAATATTGTATCTAGCTGAGATAAAGGAGCTAAAACAGTTTAAATGATCTTAAAAGCTGTGGGGTAAGGGGGGGGGGGGGGGGGGGGGGGGGGGCTCAATTAAATGAACGAAAAACAAAAACCTTCACCTTCTCTCCTCCCTCAACAATCTCCTCTCGTTGGATAAGGGTCTAGCTGAGAAGCCTGAGATGATTCAGCCTCAGTTATGAATGGCTTGAGCTCAAGCATTGCTTGCGTACCTAGTCTAAGGGTCCTCCTGCTTTTCTTTTCAGTTTTTTTTTATTACTTCGGTAACTGTTGATATCCCTCAAATGATGCTTGTCCCAAAATTAGATATGGTACCAACGAAATACAAACATATAAATTCAAAAGAAAGACAAAAAATATTACAAAAATCCTTCGTTACAAAAAAAATAAAATCAGACAAAATAAAACTAGAAAACCAACTTCAAAGTACTCAAGCTGATCAAAGTGACATCGCAACCACCCATACTTTCCATGGGATAGTACAAGGAAGAAAGACCAACTTAAATCTAGGCCAAGTCTGTCCTTGATTCAGGCAGGAGGGACGGCCACCCTTGCCAGCGAGAAAAGGCCTAGTGTCATAGTTTTCCATCCTAACATATATAAACTAAAGCCTACAAAGAGGCAAAAATTGAGGGGTCTATATATATTTATACAATAGGTCATAAATTCAAATCCCCCTCCCCTATTTCAAATTTGCAACATCCTAATACATTTGGATCAAAACTAAAACCTAGAAAATTAGGCTGAATAATTGAAATGGTTAATGGTATTGAGGCCTTGAAAATCATCAAATTTTCTAAGAGGAGCTTAATAACGGGGTGCTAAACCTTCGAGCCATCGCCAATTCAAACAAAAATAGGCTCGGAAGGAGCTCGATAGGATTAAAGCAGGCTTGGTTTAGCTCAAAGCGTAACGAACCTCAAAATCCAAGCTCGGCTTGGGCTCCAAGAACCTCAAAATTGCTCAGGCCATGGACTCAATTAGGCGTGAAAATAGCAACACATTAGCAACCAAATTTCACTCAATCATCAAATTAGGCTCAAAGAATCACAAAAAATTACTTTTCATTGAAGAATATCGGCGTAAATTGCACATAGCAAATTCTAACAACAAAATCGCTCGTTATAATTTATCATAACTTCAGTAATTAAAGCCAACATTTCATCAATTAACCTTTGAAGAACCATAAACTGATTGTACTGGCATTAAATTAAGGATAATGTTGAACGAAACCCTAGATATTCGATGATCAGTAGAAAAGTTGTGAAATTGATATTCGATGATCAAAAGAGAAGGGAAAAAATATCTTACCTCAGGAGTTGCTTCAATGGAGGACTGAAAGCTCAGAATCTGCTTCAACGGAGAAAATGAAGCTCAGAAGTCGCTTTAATGGAGAATTTAGAGTGTGCTTCAATGGTGGAGAGAGAGAGTGTGTGGCGTAAAACGAAAAAGTGAAGCTCTCCAAAGGCGGGAGAAAAAAAAAAAAGAAGTATAAGATTGAAGATTAATGACACGCATAGAATAATACTAACGTAATTACGCAAGTAAAATACGTAGTATTCATAATTCATTCTCATTTTATCATTTAATTTTTATTTCTCCACTAAATTGTTCTAGTATAACTCGGGCTACCAACTCCTCACAGTCCCATTTCTGTGATAGGATGGGCCCCCTCCCCGTAGTTTACCGGTAAAAAAAAAAAATAATAATAATAATAATAATAACTCGGGCTACCATGACTGCACAAGGGTCGATCAAACATGGCATGAAAATTGTTTTGTTAGCCCCAAGCCTATCATGAGTATGACTAATGAAAATTTAACATGAGCATGACAAGCTAATTTATAAATCGTTTTAGGGTTTTTTTTTTAAAATTATAAATTTACTAAAAAAAATTATGAGACACTAAAGTTATCCGCTAGTATGACATAATTCGGCATGGTAGTAATGATCGACACTTTATTTTAACCATTTCGAGCATAACTCGCTTGAACACGAAACATGTAGGCGCACACACATGAACTCCACATTGCCCAAACCATCCATGCCTAGCTCTATGTACGAAAAAGACTCTATTCTTCACTGTAATTTTTTTCAATACACTTTTAGCTCCATTAATTTGATATAATTCCTCAGTTTTTTTAAATTGCATCAATTTGACTTTTGCACTATTCACATGTCATATTTGACTTAATTATTTTGCTATTATAAAATAAATAAATGTTATTATACATTGTGTCATTAGATTTGTCACAATGTCTATTTTCATAATATAATTTTGTTACAATTTTTACTAATGGATACATCTTTGCATATGTGTCCGTCAAACTAATACATTATAAAATAAAATTAAAAAAAAAAGGTAGGTATCATTTAGTTTCAACTCTATATTTTATGTAATAAGTACTACCTCCGTTACAGGTTATGTACAACGATTTGACATAAAGCAGAGAGGAAAAATGTCTAATCGTTACACATAACCTGTAACGAAGGTAGTATTTGTTATCACTGTATTATTATCATTGTTTCCGTTTTGTTGTTCTCACTGTGTTTGTTTCTAATTGATAATCCTTTATCATTGAATTCACTTCATCATGCTACATTTGAGTTGTTTTGTTAAAAAAAATTAAAAGGTGATACCATAAACACACAGACGAATCAAATAAAATTTCACAAGAATTTTTTATTTTATTTTTCATATGAATTTATTCAAGTATATATTAACTTTCAATTTTATTAGGAATTATAATATTGATTCCAAGTACGACTATAATTATTATAATTATTTTTATCGTATGTTCCTTATTTAATGTCTTTTGTGCGCTTTTTAATGTGTACATTACTGGATCTCCAATTCTCCACTATCAATATGTTTATAAGCTTAATTCTTTTCGATTATTGCATAGGAAAATTACATAATACACACATACTCTTTAATTGTCTTTTGTGATTATAAGAAAAATATATTCAATTTGAAGGATTCCTCTCATTTTAAGCTTTTAAAATATCAACTTTGCTTTTAATTAAAAATCATTAGAGACGTTAAAGGTATAAAATTTACAGTACATTAGCAATTGGCAAGTGTGAAAATCCCAATGCTACAATTAAATAACAATGGTGAAAATAAACAAAATCAAGTAGGTTTAATTTAGTCTGAATTTTTCTTGGCTAATGTAATCAAAGACTACAAAACAAAAATATGCAAACGTATTTTCTCAATGCAACTACTACGTATTTGATTTTATATTACCTCCATTACATCCACTAAAAATAAATATCCTAATGACATCAAAATAATTCAGCAAGCAACCAAAAGAAAACAATTGATTGCTCAACAACCAAAACTAAGAAAAATCAACAAAATGATCACATTACTAACATAGAATATGAAGAATGATAATGACAAAAAGAAAAGTACTAGTGCCAAAATTATTATACTAAACCATGCCTAAGATCAACAAAATAATTAGTCAAATTGCTAATAATTGAAAAATTACAGCCATTCCTCAAGAAGATGTGCCTGTGATAGATACAAGCACCAAAACTTGATACAAAAAGCCGAAAAAGGCATCTTAGAAAAGAATGGTACCAAAACATGGGAAGTGATTTTGATGTGCACTAAAATTATCCAAGAGGAGCTTCAATCAACTGGTTTGTATAATTTCCTAAAGTTCAATCATCAGAAGCATATCGGCACCCAAACACTGCCCCAAGAATTAAGTTAATCTATTACTACTATAAGATTATTCGCCGTTAATAGAGGCACTGAATTCTTGTTCTGCTTCCAACTTGATTCACCACCACACCCTCAAGGAAGGGTAACACTCGGATACTTGCATTTACCGGAACCTGAAAGGAAGCAGCAAGTTAGACTAACAAAAGTACGAGAAACTGTGAAAGATTAGTACTCGAAAGATTAAGCAAAGTACTTACTGGGATCCTTGGCAGTCTGCACAGCAAGCCCATTGAAATAACAAGTACCACCTTGACTCTTCATTTGTGAGAAATATGAGCTAAATGCATAGCTAGCATGAGAAACTAATGAATTTGGATTGTAACAGTTTCCCTTGGGCTGGATAGCAGCACAAGTTCCTTTTCCTTGACCACAGGCATATGTTACTGCATCTGCTAGTTGAGTAATGTTAGCGTTGCTGGCCACTACACACCATATCTTCCCCTTATATGGCTCATTGTTATCCGGTTTTGGCAAAGGCGGATAAGATGAAACAGGGGTCTTCCCCGTCAAATCAATTGGATAAACAGTTGAACCATTTGGGTAAAATTGTCCCCAATGTCGCTCAGTACCCGGACCACCCTTTTGGTTCTCATTAAACAAAGCAAATACGAAGGTAGGCAAAACAGCATCAGGCATAGCAGGAGTTCCAACCGAGGGTTTAGCATTCAACTTTTGAACCAAATTTCTATTGTAAGTAGCGGCATTGTAGACATTAGCTCCAATTTGGTCAATATCACCACCATTCGGCCAACCTGTTTCAGCAATCCAGATTCTAATATCCGGGTACCCAAGCTTCTTCATCGCAAAATGAACAGAATCAAGCATTTGATCGAGCAAATTGGTATATGTCAACCCACTACCAGGGTCTTTGTAGGTTACACCACCATTAAACAATGCATAATCTAGGCTGATAGTCTTATAGCTCTGCGACCAAGCAAAATACGGGTAGCAGTCTATAAAGAGAAATGACTTAGTATTGCTGAGAAACTGCAACATTGGCTTCATCACAGTATCAGCAATATCAGACCTAAAGGTGCCATTTGAGGGTGGGTACGACGATTCAAGGACATCCATTGCCAATGTTGTCCCAACTTTGACTTTGCGGATGCCATTCACCTTGAGGGCATATTGGATTTTCCGCATAGCCGGGACTAGATCATGCCAAGTCTTTTTATCAGCCTCAGTCATGAAACTAAGAATTTCATTCCCAACAAGGACATACCTAATCAAGGTATGAGGATAAGCAACCAAATTGGTCTTAATCCAATCATTAGCCATTTTTTGGTTGGTCGAAATATTCGAAATGATCTCATTCGGAACCATGATTGAGACTTGAAGGTTTGTACCACCAAGGGCAGTAAGAATTTCTGGGTCTGGGCTATAAAGTTTGACCCTCCCAGCTTTAAGGCTTTTGATAAGTTCAACTGATTTGGTTGGTTTTGGTAAGTTATTGCCTAATGTACCATAATTCACACCAACCTTTGGAGAAAATGTTGCAGCACCTGAAATTAATTCAAATTGGTTTTAAATGATAGATTGAATGAAAATCCAATTATTATATCACAAGATAGTTGCAAATTTAATCATCTTCTATCTATAAATGCTGTCACACTTTCTGACTTTCTAATCATTGAAAATCTATAATTCCTGAATTTTTTTTTTTATACAACACAAGATTCAAACCAAACATTGTATATATATAAAAATCGCGCATTGACGGGAATTAAACTAGTTAATTCAACCAACCACAAAACCATAGTAACTCAGATAAGATTGAGCTAATAAACAACACAATACAGGCAAAATAAAACCCAGAAAAGTTCAAAACTTGGAAACAAACAAAATGAGCATGAAAGTCATAAGGAAAAACACCCAGTTGGTTCATTTTCTACCAAAATATATACATGAAAACACATTATAACAAAAACCCCATAACTTCTAGATCTTAAAAATTAAATAAAATACTACAGAAAAATCCAAAAAAAAAAAATGAAATGTAATTTCAGATCAAACATAATGCCAGCAACATTCAGAACAAAATGACAAACAAAAATCTCACTTACATAATCTGTACGCATTTACCATTTTATAAATTACTATCATTAAAAAAAATATAGAAACAAATGCTTCAACAAAACACATAAATTCCAACAAATTTAATGCTAAAACAGAAACATTCCAATAAAAAAATGAAGAGAAAACTTACTTGAAATAGAAAGTAGCAAAGAAAAGAAGCAGAGATTAAAGAGCTTCATTGTTAATGGTAGAAGCTCTTCTACAGTTGATTTGTAGATAGCTTGTGTACTATAAAAATGGGAGGAAAAAGAGGAGAGAGAAAGTGGAAAGTGAAAGAGTAGACAAGAGCTGAAGAAAATGGGGCCTAAATATAAAGAAAAGGGAAGCAGCCTTAAAATAAACCTTATTATGAAGGGTTTGATAAATTTGTTGATTGTTAATTGCTTGTAGGCCTAGTACTATGACATATAATCTCGTGTAGCCACTAAATTTATTTGAAGCTTCTTGGAGAATCCTAGTTGGACCGCTTAAATTGATGTTTTCGATACTCGGTTTCTTATTAATTGCGAAATTTGGTTTTGTGGTTTTTGTGGGAAGTATCGTTATTATTGGTGTGTTTTATTGACAGGGGAATCATCTTGGTGAATGACAATGCTTTTGATATATTAGACGCATATTTTTCTAAGATTAGTGAAGATAAGTAAAATAAGTTGTAACAACGGAAGGATAAAGATAATTTGGGTGTGTAAATAAGGTTTTGATAAATTGATCCTTAGCCAAAATAGTATGTTTGGAGACAATGTCAACAATACAACTTGTATGTTGTGAAGACTTGAACTTTAGCTTGGTTCTCATTAGCACATGGCAAAGGAATATATATAGTACAAGGCACAGAGTTTCCTTAGTCGTATCAAACTAAACTTAGGAAACATGATAACTTATGGAAAATAAATATCCTAACAAAATATTTCCTAGATAAAATATATTCTCCAAAGCTAATTATAATATACTCTAATTATATCGTAATACCCCCCCTCAAGTTGGAGCATTAGGGTCGTAAATGCCCAACAATTTAATAGCCTTAGGATGTTGCACACTCATGCTCAACAATAGACGCTTGAGCCACTTTAATTCGCAAGTGGCTCCATTCATACACCTGTACTCCGCCTCTGCAGAAGATGTAGATATTGTAGGTTGCTTTTTAGTTTTCCAACAAATCGGAGATTTTCCTAGAAACACTAGCCATCCTGTCAACGAACGACGAGTTAGAGGACACGCCGCCCAATCTGAGTCACACCACCCTTCTAAAGTGAGCTCACTATCTGAGCGCAATAATATGCCTTGGCCAAGAGATCCTTTGAGATAGCGAACAACCCTCAAGGCCGCCTCCCAATGTTCAATGCGTGGTTCATGCATAAACTGAGATAGAATGTGAACAGAATAGGCAAGATCTGGTCGAGTGACCGCAAGATATATGAGTCGACCCACGAGGCGACAATAAGCTTCGGGATTCTTCAGTAATTCGCCACTAGCATGGGCAAGTTTATGATTTTGTTCCATGGGAAACCCACTAGGCTTTGCTCCCAATAAACCTGTTTCAGAGATAATATCTAGAGTATACTTCCTTTGACACAAAAACAATCCGGAAGAACTACGGGCCACCTTAATGCCCAAAAAATATTTAAGAGGTCCAAGATCTTTCATTTTGAAGCAATCACTGAGATATGCTTTAAACACCTTAAATGCAGCGGAATCATTCCCGGAAATAATAAGATCATCCACATAAACTAAGACATTAAGTTGAGTTTTGCCATTAGTATATGTGAATAAAGAATAATCTGAATAGGATTGGATAAAACCATACCGTTTCAGAGCAGTCATCAACTTTGCAAACCAACACCTAGGAGCCTGTTTCAATCCATACAATGATTTGCGTAACCTACACACCATAGAAGGATCCGAGCTTTCAAATTCCGGGGGGCAACTTCATGTAGACCTCTTCATGAAGGTCACCATGTAAAAAGGCATTGCGAACGTCCATTTGATGAAGTTCCCAATTTTTGCAAGCTGCTATTGCAAGAAAGGCACGAACTGTGGTCATCTTTTCCACCGGTGCAAAAGTTTCGGCATAATCAATTCCGACTTGTTGATGATTACCGAACACTACTAATCTTGATTTGAGTCGCTCAATATCACCATTTGATAAGTATTTGGTCTTATAGACCCATTGACTGCCGAGAGCACGTTTCCTGGGTGGAAGGCGCTCCAAAGTCCATGTTCCATTGTCCTCTAGAGCACGAATTTCTTCCTTCATAGATTGTCGCCACTCATGATGTTTCATTGCCTCCTTGAAAGATCTTGGGTCATTACCCTTGATAATAGCTGCAAGAAATTTTTGATATTTGACAGAAAAATTGTCACAATTTATGTAATGTGCCAAAGGATAAGAAGTACCTGAGGAGCGAGTGGAAGGAGAAGGGAGTGGACTATTAGCAAAAACCGTATGTGTCACAAAATCACGATGCAAGACATTGGGAAACTTTTGACGGTGGCCGCGACCCAACACTTCAACATTTGCGTCATTACCTTGAATTTCAGGTTCATGGGGCAGCCCATCATCATTGGGATCAAGAGACACTAACTTGGGCTGCTCAAGGATAGAAAACGGCCCATCTCCCTGGCCAGAGGTCGAGATGGGCTGCGATGGAGAAGGCCCAACACTCGTTGGAAACCCATTGCCCTGATCAGAAGGCGACTTGGGCTGCAATGGAGAAGGCCCAGCGCTCGCTGGTGTGGCTTGAATGGGCGGTGGGTCTGTAGCAAATTCGGGTTGGGCTAATTGTTCAGTAATTAAGTTGCCAACCTCAGTTTCTTCATCAAAAATCAATTCTGAAAAATCCTCATGAATATTTTGATCAACATATTCATTAACTGGAATGTTCACCTCCTCCGGACTCCCAAACGGAAAAACTTCTTCAATAAATTTCACATCCCGGGAGACAAAAAATTCTTTTGTAGTCAAATCAAACATTCTCCACCCCTTTTTGCCAAACGGATAACCCACAAACATACACTTTCGACTACGACTTGCAAACTTATCACCTTTGGTTTTTTGGTTATGAGCAAAGCATAAGCAACCAAAGGTTCGAATAGTGTCAAAAGAGGGTGGTTTGTCAAAAAGAATTTCAAAAGGTGTTTTATTTCCCAAGAGTGGGGTTGGGGTGCGGTTAATTAGATGAGCGGCAGTGAGAACACACTCCCCCCAAAAATAAATTGGTAGTTGTGCTTGAAATCGCAAAGCACGACTTACATTCAAGATATGTTTGTGTTTCCTCTCTACACGCCCATTTTGTTGAGGTGTTCCCACACAAAATGTTTGAAATAAAATTCCAGTGGTTCGAAAATAATCAAGCAAACAATTAAACTCTGTCCCATTATCACTTTGGACCACTTTAATTGTTTGGTTAAATTGTTTGTCTACCATAGCAATAAAAGCCATAAACATTTGAAAAACTTCAAGTTTATCAACCAATAAATAAACCCAAACAGCTCTCGAAAAATCATCAACAATTGTCAAAAAATAACGAGCTCCACACGAGAAAACATGTCGATATGGACCCCACAAATCACAATGAATTTTCTCAAATATTCGAGATGCTTTATTATCACTTAAAGGAAATTTGTCTCTTGGATGCTTAGCATGCATACATACTTCACAAACTTTATTTAAATGATCTTTGCTACTACTAACATGAGGAATTAACTTAATTACTTTTTCCGATGGATGACCAAGCTGACGATGCCACAACTCCAACGTTGACGTAGCTTCAACTGTTGACACTTTCGGTTTTCTAAAATAGTATAGTCCATCTCTCCTAATTCCCGTTCCAATCAGCTCCTTCGCATGGTCCTGTATAGCACAAACATGATAATCAAATTCGACAATTGTATGTAAGTCATCATTAAGCTGAGAAACAGATAATAAATTGCAACTCAAATTCGGAACATAAAGAACTCCGGTGAGAGTTATCTTTTCCGACAAACGGACAGATCCCACCAAAGTAGCTATAACTTTTGCACCGTTTGGTAAACCAACCGGGCATTCAATATTTTGAGTGTCAATAAGCCAAGAACTATCTCCTGTGACATGATGTGTTGTGCCGGTATCAATAATCCAAGACGAAACGTCAAACTTACCAGTCAATCTGTTTTCGGGTATTTGAATATGGGATTTGTTAAACATCGCCCACAAATTACTACATAAAGCCCACAAAATTCACTTGGGTTGACAATATTGCCCTTGACCTAAAAAAAAAACACTCACACTCTCATCACTCACACTCTAATCGCTCATCTTCTTTCAACCTCTCTAAAAAAAAAAAAAAATTTCAAACAACGGCAATGTCGAGGCGGCAAGGCAAGGAATTGGCGGCGGCGGCGGAGGGAAGGAGGTCCCAAGGAGGTAAGGTACAATTTGTAAAAAAAAAAAAAAAAAAAAAAAAGGAAAAACCGCCGTGACGGAGGTGGGGCGCCCAGGATGGACGCCCAGCCAGCGGTGGTGGCGCCAGCTGCAGACGCCGCCACCAGTAGGCTGGCGCCTGGGCTGGACGCCATAGCCACGGTTGTGGCGTTTATTCAAGGCGTCGCAGCCGTGGCTGTGGCGTCCAGCCCAGGCGCCAGCCCACTAGTGGCGGCATCTGCAGCTGGCGCCACCATCGCTGGCTGGGCGTCCAGCCAAGGCGCCCCCCCCCCCCTTTTTTTTTTATATTTGTTTTAAAATATTGTTTTAATTTTTTTTTTTTTTTTGTGTAATATCTTTTTGAATTGTTTTTATATTTTGTTGTTTTATTTTATAAATTTTTTCAATTTTGTTGTATTTTTTCTATGTTTATATTTTGTTTACAATTATTTGTTTGTTTTTTTTGTACATTTTTATTTTTATTCTCTATTTTGATTTGTTTTTAAATTTTTTTTGTGACTTTGATATTGTTTTTGGTTAGTTAATTTATTTTAAATTTTATTATTGATATTGTTTTTGGTTAGTTAATTTATTTTAATTGGGAATGAATTATTTATGTTTATATATATTCTTTTGTGTGGAGTCCGCGCTCGGAGAAGAAGTCCGTTGACCGCCTCCGATTGATACGGTTATTGCTGGACAGGCTGTCCCCCTTAGAGGTAACGTTTATAAATTGTTTCTACATTTTATTATTTGCACATATTATATTCATGTTATTAAATTTTAAAACTATGTGCAGGTGAACTGGATGCCTTTCGGCCCGAACCCTAGTGTTAGGGTACCCAGGACCCTGTACACGGGACTCATTCAGTATCGTGAGATCGTCGAGGCGTACATGCCCCAGCGTTGTCTTCGCCAGCTTGGATTTGTCCAAGTTGTCCCTCCTCCCCCGGCATGCCCGATGAAGGCGGTCCGACCTGCATCGTCGAGGGACTACGTCGTGCAATGGCCGGATATCATGACCGGGACATGGGACCAGTTTCCGATGGTGGCCCGCTTATGGACTGCGGAGTTGCAGCGGCCGCCCTCTGGGATTCCTCCCATGTGTGACCATTACTACATGGAATGGTTCAACCGGTATTCGCACCCGAGGTTGATCGCAGATCTCAACCACAGCGATGATGATTATGTGCCACCGCCTACTACCATGGAAGCGATATGTCTCATATTATATTTATCGTAGTCTTTTAATTAAGTTTTATATGTTGTTATTGTATTTCATCTTTTGTTTTTTGTTGTATGCAGTGGATGGGAAAGATAATGCAGGACGTTCAGAAACTCTCTCTTGAGAAGGACAACATGAGTGCAACAGGGAGAGCTGTTGTTGATAGTCTGGAACAGACCCTTGCGCAGTGGGAGTCGTCGTCGAGGAGGGATTACTGATGGTTTTGTCATTTTATTTATAGAGCACTTTAAATATTATCGTTTTAATTTATTAAATTGGACATTATGTTGTAAGTTTGTAACATTTTAGATTGTTCTTTTAGCTTCCAACTTAAACATATTATCAATGCTGTTTTTAAATTTTGATATAACCGTTCGTGGATCCGCGCAACTTACCCATGCAACATATAGAATGCAGTAAGCAATACAATATAAAAGATTAATGTGCTCATTAAAAGAGCAACGTACAAATAAGATTACATAGGAAGAATGTAAACATGAAAAACTAAAATGCAGCTAGGGTGTTCCATTCGTGGATCCGGTCATCCCCAAACTAAAATACGACCCAAGAAACGCAATAGCTAGCTCTCTGACCGGTGTGGTGACAGTCTCATCCTTGATGATTGCATGACCAATCAGAAAGTTCTGGTTCGTTGGAGTCATCCCCATGATCTCAACCAGTGGGAACTTGTACTTGTTTGTCTTGTACGTTGAGTCGATCAAAATCACAAATGGACAAGACTTGATCATATCAGCACAATCAGGATGCACAAGGAAAAGATGAGTCACCTCCGTTGTATCTTCATCAGAATCAAACCAGAACAGGTAACCACGTGATTGTGCCTGGTGTAGCAGCTGCTGTATAGGGTTCCTTCCCTCTGACCGTTCAAACCTGAGTTGCTGTCTGACGTTGTAGATGTGTCTTCGGTTTGGATGGTCTTCTGGAAATTTCTCTAACACAGATGCTAATATTTTAGCAGGCTTGACTTGAGCATCACTCATTTCTTTCACAACTACTTTCGCAGCAGGACTTAAGCCGCTCAGCTGTCGATGACCCTCTTCATATACTATCATCTCATGGTTGTGATACCCCCATTTAGAGTAACCAATCACTTCCCAACCGTCACGACTCCGTAGTTGTCGAACCTTTACTCTGAACTCACACCCACAACCTTTCCGCTTTGTATCAAACCGAGTGGCTGTACGAAAATCTCTGTCTTCTCTTTTGCGATAACGGTCACATCTCAAAATGCGATCCATTCTACCA